CCACAAGGGGTTTTGGCAGAAAATACTTGGAGTTACTACAACTAGAATGAGATGATTCTCTGTTAACAATAAACACATTTTTGGATTAATTTCCAGAGGAAATACTTCTCTTGGAGATGAGTACACATAAGGATTTCTACACATGTGGTTTTCATGCCTATGGATCATGAACCTGAGAATGCTGTATATGTGAAAACTAAGTACACATCTTGCATGGTGAAGTTATCATGTAGAGGTGTTAAAGCCATGCCAACCTCACTGGCAGCCAGCCCACCAAAAGTGACGGAGTAAGAAGGAAAGTAGACTGTGTCAGATAAAAAAAATGACCTATATCTGTTAAATGCTCAGGAAACTCAGCTTTAAATTATTATTTTTTTCTGAAGTAAAATCATTTATTATTTAGGTTATACCTAAAACTTCATTATAAAACAAATATAAAATTTATATTTATTAATAGGATAATTTAAACAGTTTTCTTAGTTGTGTTAAAACTTAAAGGAATAACTAAAAACATGAAACATGGCAAATAACAAATATTTGTCTCTGGTCAGTCTTAAAATCTCACTAAAATGAGAAGGATGTGTTGTTTAAAACTACATGGGTGAAGTGACTGGGTAGAAGAGACAACAGCAGATAAGAGATACCAACAAATGTTTAAAAGATGGAAAAGCACATGAAGGAGTCAGCACAGCTGAAAAAACTGAACACTAAGGGCTTGCACAGGCAGATGCTAATGACAGGTGGGCCCATTCACATCACAAAATCCTGCAAAGGCTCAAGAATTGAAGGCACCAAGTCACTGAATTCAGGAGAGAGGCGGGGGCTGCCAATGGGGTGGAGAGGAAGAGTTTGAAAATCTGTATAAGAAGCTTTGAGAACATTACAGAAGATTCAAGCTGACTTAAGTAGAAACATTGAATCAATCATAGCAGACGATGGAAGAGAAGCACCATCACGAGAACAGGATTCAGTTAAAATCTATACACTAAATGGTGAGACGAGCCCCTCCTGGCCCTTCGCAAGAACCTCTTTATATCATTTAACTTCAGTAACAGTGACAAACAGGATTATATTCTACAAGGTATTGGAGGGTTCTTGTCTAAAGAAACTGTATAGCCTTAGACATTTGCAGTACAACAACATGATGGTCAGCTAAGACCTACCTCATGTATTTTACACCTTCTATGTAAGATATACCAGGCAACAAGCCTACCCATGCAAACAGCTTCCAAGCACATTTCTAATGCCTTACTTTTAAATAACAACACAGGTACTACAGACTTACAAAAAACTTTTCCAACAAAAAAGACCAAAACAAAAATTTGTAGGAAACAAAGACAATGCAGGGAGCAGAAAAGAAGTTCAAAAAAACTATTTTCATCTTTAGAAAGATGACTATATATTGCATCAAAGAAAAAAGAACAAAATGCTATTTTTTTTAAAAAAAGAACTATCTGAGAAAGCTCTTAAAAATGTAAATACAGCAGAAATACATAATTTAAATGTTTGAATAGTGACTCATGAAAATCTAATCTAAAATAGAATAAAAAACAAAGATGGGAAGAATAATAAAAAAAAAAAGCTCAATCCATGAGATCCAATATCAGACCAACAGAATTTGTAGAAAGAGGAAAAATACATATCATAAAGAACATAGAAAAAATTCCAGAAAATAAAAGATGTTTCCACATTGAATGAACCTACTGAGTGCCCAGCACAGAAAAAAATAGACCAGTTAAGTATAAAAAAAGACCAGTACCAAGGCACGTTATTGTGAAATTCAGAATAGCCAGGATAAACAGATGATCTTAAGGGTTTAAAGAGTAAAATAGGAAGGTCACATATAAAGCATCAAGAATTAATATCAGATTTCTTAACTACAAGCCCAAAGACAATAGATGAAAACTTTTAAAATTCTGAGAGAAAACTATTTGCAGCCTAAAATTCTATACCCACCCAAACTACCCTCAAGCATATGGGTGAAGTAAAGACATCCTGAGAAATGTAATGTTGCAAAAAGTGTACCACCTAAGTACAAGTTCTCAGGATGCTGCTGGGTGTTATGCTCCACTCAAATAAGAAAATAAATGATAAATATATATATATATATGAGTTCCAAGTCACTGGATCTAACTAACACAGATGAGAGATATCAGCTCTACAGGAAGCTTAGAGAACTGCCAATACACAGTAGAACAGGCATTCTAGGAGGAACATCTCCAAGAAAAAAATAAAATGGTTAGAGTATTTGGTGTATTTTTTAGAAAATATTTTTCAAACAAATTTTAGAATTCTTTTGGAGTATGTGAGAATTAGTGATAGTTACACAGAACACAAAGCAAACCAAACAAGAAGATAATGTTATATATGTAGAGGAAAGAAAATATAAGTGTACATGGCTCAGTGGTTTAAAAAGAAGTACACACATGGTCATGATAAGGTAAACTACAAATATTAATTTAAACAAAATTTTGTATAAAGCTATATTGATTGAAAGAAGAACGGGAAGAGGGAGCATATGATAGTATAAAAATGTTAAAACCTCACCATCAAAAATAAGAAGTCAATACAATATATAATCATATTATTAAGAAATATGGAAGTTAAAACCAAAAGATGGTGCTAAAAGAGAATTTGTGTAGACAATTGCAGGGGAGGGTAAGGTCAAGGGATACTGTTTTTTGTTTTCTGTTCTGTAGTACAATTTGACTTTTAAACTACATACTTGTATTACTTTGATACATTTTTTTAGTTTTGAAAACTCTCATAAGCAAAATAAACATTTATTTCTAAGAAGTCTAATTTGGGATAATCTCTAGCTCAAATAGAGATTTAGCAGTATTAAATTAAGGTTGCAAGTGATATTTGTGATAATTATAAAATCACAATTTCTCTGCAAATGATTTTCTAATCTCCTGATTAAATGTTACATTATTGTATCATGACAATGTAACAAAAAAAATCTATTTTAGGAAAAAAAGTACTTCTAAGTAACATACTCGTATTATTTTCATTTCTTTTTGTGCTCAGAGTATCCAATTTTCTAAAGTCAAAGAGGTTTTTAAAAGATTTTTTTTCTCATGAAGAACTCACAATAAAAGTTTATAGTTATAGGAAAACTAAAAATTATGATGTTCACCCTTAAATAAAAGAGCACATTTTGTAATCTATAAATGAAATCTTAAGGTTGAAAGATACTATTTCTTTCATTTACTCCTTTCATTGGTTCTGAATTAAAAAAAAATCTATTTATAAATATTTAGTTTTTCTTGTATTTTTCTTTGCCTGGGTTTTTAATATTTTGATACTGAGACATTTTGTAAATTATTACACTCGTAACACCAACTGATGCAAATTGTGAAGCAAGGGCATATGTAGATTCAAGTCTTAGCTGTATGAGCCTGGGCAAGCCCCTTCTTTGAGCCTCAGTTTCTTCATCTATAATACCTACCCTGAACGTTCATTATGGAGATTAGAATAATATGTCAAGGACAAGACACAAAATATGTACTGAATTAATAATGGAAATTCTCCTCTTTCCTATCTTCTCTGTGGTCCAAGAAGTTTCATTTTTAAAGAATTTGCAGTCAAAATACTTGATTTCAAATCTTGGTTCTTCCACTTATTAGCCTGTAACCCTTGGGGTGGTTAGTTATTCTTCTTAACCTTGGTTTCAGCAATTCTGTCATGGGCTTAATTATAAAAACCCTATAAAGATGCAGTGGTGAAGAAAATATGTATTCTGTTACCGCAGTGACTGGTACATAATAAGTTCTCAGAAACTGTAACAGTAATAATAACAAGACATTAAGAGATACAGTTTCTCTCCTCTTCATGACCACTTAAAGCAAAATAAAGTAACAGAAATGGCTTGGTCAAGAAGAGCATTGCATGAAGTTACATGTGACATGTGAGTTAATTCAATCATTTTCCCACAAAGAAAGAATTAGAAACTGCCTTCCAAGATATATATTTAATGAACCTATGTGCTATTTGACAGAATATATATCTTTGTCCACTTGTCAATTTGGTCAATTAGATAGAGTACCATTCCGTCCTTTGTGCCTTCTCTCTACGTACATATATTTCATTTATTTATCTTTGGTTGTCTTTTTGTTACTGTTATTTGGTTGATTGATCAAATAACCAGTGGCTCATTGAAATGAAAAGTAGGTTGTGTCATAATGAATAGTTTGGTAGACCTGCTGATAAAAGGCAGAGAGTAAAATGGAGGGCCACAGTGATATTGTCTGTAGATCCAGCACAGTTTCAGGGTTTTTCTCTTTGACGTAAGCTTTTTTTTTTTTTTTCCTTTGACAAAGGCATTTGATTCCACTTTGAGGCCAGAGAGATTACCTTATTTGTATTTCAGTTACTGGCAATTAGAATTTCATGTGGAAAATAGACAGTACTTTAGAAATGTTGTTCAATAAATGAATAAATTAGGGTACACACAGACTCCTTAAACTCTATCACCATACTACCAGAGCAACTAGCTAGCAAGCAAAAACAAAACAAAACATTGAACTATTTTCCAAACCTCTCCATTTGAATTAAATAAAATCCCAAGCCCACTGCTATGCAAATTTTATTTTCTTTCTTAATGATGTATGTCAATCTAGAGGGAACATTTAGTATATGCTTGTGTTGTTTCAAGAAGTGCAAAGGTAATTCAGTCACAGTTTGCCACCCCCAAAAACTCCCACTTGAAGTGAAGTCACAAGCAAAGCCTTTTTACTGTACAAAACTTACTTCCCTTTTATAGAGAGTTTGCTTAAAAATGTAAGCAATTTCACAGATGGAAGATCTGAGTAACTCCTTAAATGTCATATTTCCCCCCAAAATTGGTTCCTTCACCCTTACATTCTCATTATACTGGGTAGAAATTTTTATTATTTAATGTTGAACTTAAGGTTATGATGACTTTAAAGTCATATACTTTTGCTGTCTAAAAGCAGAAGTTGTATATAAGCAAATAAATATCAAGGTAACGTTCTTACCTTGTTCTTGTGCATGAACAGCACCCCCTGCCACACATAGCACAATAAAATGAAGAAGCAGTTTCCTAAAACAAGAAAAGTAATTGGGAAAAACTTAGTTGAACACTTACAACCTATAAATCATATGAAATCCAAAATGAACTCTAGTGCAAGATGAACAATTAAGCTATTATTGTAATTAACACAGTATTTTACTATTCATCTTAGTTAAGAACAAGGGCTCTGAATTTAAGGTCCAGCTTTACCACTTACTATGTGACTTGGGCACACTTTTTAATCACTCCTTGCCTCGGTTTCTTCATATGTTAAATCTATTTCATAAGGTTATTTTGAAGATTAACTGAAAAAACTTCATGTGAAACACGCAAAACAGGGCCGGCTGAATGTCGCGTTGGTTGAGAGCTGGCTTGGGACACCAGTTCTGTGCAGCAGGGTCCTGGTTCGGATCCCACATGAAAGCCAGTGACACTGTCCTCTACAGCTAAGATGGCAAACAATAGCTCAACCTGGAGCTGGGCTGCCATGAGTTGCCGGCGACGGCATAAACTGCAGCCCCTGCTGCAGTGGGCTGCTGTAAGCTACCGTGTGTGGCCGGCAGCCAGCGTGAGCTGCCAAGAGCTGCTGTGAGCAGCCGTCCAGAGGCTGGCGACCTATCTGCCTCGCCCAGGAAGAGCGCAATGATAATACCAACATGGGCCAGTGAAGCGACGTCCTCCACAACTAGACTGAAGAACAAAAGGATAGCAACTTGTCTGTTCCCCTTCCCCAGATTCCCCAGCGCTGTTCCCCTCCCCAATTCACCAATAAAATCTTAAAAGAAAAAACCACAAAACAGTATCCGGCACATAGGAAGCACCCAATAAACGTGAACTAGTATAGGTGACATTATTATTATTTCAAATTATGCAATTTTATATGAAGTAATAGAAATTTGTACAAAACAACACAACTTATAGTCACTTAAGTTGGGACTTTTATAGTCACTTAAGTGACTATAAAATGGTGAAACCAGTTATTTATTTAAATGAATGTTTATATGGAAAAGTGATCTGAACACCATATTCAAATCACTTGAACTAGATTTATGATTCTTTGCTTATGAAAATAGCAATGGCCTGTAGATATTAACATGAACATTTTAATCAGTAGTAATTGTAAGCATAATACTCAATCACCACAAATAAAAATGTTCATTCATATTAATTAGCTAAGTGAGAATATTTTGTGAAATTTTTTTTTTAGTATAACCAAACTTGATATTGTTGAATAGTTCCATAATTGGCTATGTCTACCTCTCAAGTGAAAATCATAAAGATAATTTTAAAAAGTAATATGAGCATGCTGAAAGCAATATTTTATTACCTTATTCTTGCTAATATATATATATGTATATCCTGATGTTTTTTTTCATTCTAAGCCAAGAACTTTCCAAATGACATTCTTGTAAAATACAGTTCTGCAAGAAGTGATTACAGAACTCTCTGAAGATTATTTTCTCCTTTTATTAAGTTCCTGGTATACTAGTAGTAATTGGTACCTAGTCTATTACCAATACGTTTTAACCTTTATTAACTAGTATAAAGAGCATCTTAACATAAGAAACATGACTTTTTACAAAGTGAGTCAACAATATAAAATTATACTATTCTCCTTGGTATAATGGAAATATCATTTTTACTAAAATGCTGTTAACCATTTTTTAGTAAGTGAAAAATGCACACTGTGGTCATATTCAGTACAGAGAACATGTTTTATATGACAAGGTTTGGATAGAATACTTGACTGTCATTAATTCTACAAACTAATCAACTGAATCATTACAGGAATTTCAGCTGGTCTAGGCAAACAGCTGAACCATATATTTTAATGAAGCCTATAGAAGATTCCCATATAGGTGTCATCCATTTAGAACTGGTTCTCAAATGCTAGTTTGCCAAAGAACCATCTGAGTGAGGGACTTATGTAAAAGGCAGATTCTGGGGCTTGCCACAGAGGTGATTCATAAATTTGAAGTGAATCCTCAGGATATATATACATTTTTGGCTAGGTGATTCTAATATAGGTCGTATGGGTACCAAATGCTGAGAAAAGCAACTTATTGGGTTGTCAGTGAAGTCATGACGTATTTTTTCTGTTTTTCATTGCAAAAATGTGTCATGACTTTTCCGACAACCCAATAGAACATTTACTATTATGACAATAACACAAATAAGATTATTTGACCCCCATTTAAAAAATCCTTTTCTACTGTTCTAGATTGGTTTTCGAAACTTTAACATGCATCAGAATTACCTGAAGGGGTAAAGATTGCTGGGTTCCACCCTGAGAGCTTCTGACTCACTAGGTCTGGGTTAGGGCTTGAGGATTTGCATTTATAGTGAGTTCCCAGGCAATACTGATGCTGCTGATCTGGGGATCACACGCTAAAGACTAGTCTTCTGGAAGCGATGACACTTAAGTGACGTAAGGCCTACCTGTTTTGGATCTCTTTCACCTTAGCTGCACAGAAGAATCAGCGGAGGAATTTTAAACACGACTAATACTTGGATCCTGCCCTCTCCACGCCTACCCTAAGAGATTCTGGTTCGAATTTGTCTGTGGTTCAGGGATTTTTAAATACTTCCCAGGTGATTCTAATGTGCGAGCAAAGCTGAGGACGATTGTGCGTGATTAAGATGGCTTCTCTTGGTTCTCCAGAATGGATCCCAGTATGATCTAGAGTTTGAGTAAAAGGAGGCGCCTTTTCTTTCCAATTTATATTTTCATCAAATAAATGCCAGGCTATACATCAGTGAGGCTAGAAAATGCGTCAGGATCATAGTCACTGTAGACGAGTGCATCAGAATTATGCTGTTTTAATAGGGAACGGAATGTGAAAGGAAGCACCTCTCACCTGCCCAAGGAAATCTGGCTCACTTAGAGCTGAGAAACAACCCAACAGGGATTTTTCCATTTCAGAATTAAACTAACTAATAACAATCAGCACTGTTCACTTTGCAACTCAGCCAACGCATGGATTTCCCCCAATGACCTCAGGGGAGAAAAATGGAAAATACAGACTTTTTCTAGACATGTTAACAAGTCCATTCCTGGAGTGAGGCAGGAAAACCTGAATACATCAGACATCATCCCTTAGCCATGTGATTTTAGGGGATTATGACAAATCCGTTAAGCCATACCTCATGTAAGTGGACCTATGTACTAAAGCTGATGACGAATAGAGAGGAGGAGGTCGACAACTGAAATACAGATTCAGTTTTCTAATTACGCCCCAAACTAAGAGCCAAGTAAGGGAGCACGGGAAAAGTCAAGTTCCTCACCCGGTGTTCAAGGCCCTTATCAATCAGCTCCAACCATCTTGTTTTATCAATATGGATCCCACTACACCTGATACCCACAAAGCTCCAGCCATTCCTTGTTATTCTCTATTCCCTGGGCAGACCTTCTCCTCTCCGTCTCCACCTGTCAGAATCTTAAGTGTCATCAAAGCCTAATTTGAACAACACCTGCTCCATGAAGTTTCCCATCATCCCTAAAGAGATCTCTATACTCTTGATGCTTTCTTTGTAACGTTGCTATAGCCAATATATGTGTACCTTTTATGATAAATTAATTAGTCAGTATCTGAGCAAGTAACAGGTCTTCACCTATTATCTACTTTTTTTTTTACACGGTATTAACAGTAAACATTTTTAAACAGGAAAGAATAATAACATCTCCCAATGACTGAAGAATTCAATTCTTCCCTATGGACCTAATTTTTAACACTTGGAAAAAGTAATATCTGGATACTTTTAATTGGATGTCTACAGAGAAAAAGAAAAAGGAGGATTGGGCAGGCCGAGTGGCGCGTTGGTTAAGAGCTGGCTTGGGACGCCAGAGGGCGCTGCAGAGGGTTGCCATGGGCTACCATGTGTAGCCAGCTGCCAGCGTGAGCGGCCAGCAGCCGCTGTGAGTGGCCATCCAGAAGCCTGCGACTGATCTGCCTCACCCAGGAAGAGCACAATGATGGTGCCAACTTGGGCCAGTGAAGCAACGTCCTCCACAACTAGACTGAAGAACAAAAGGACAGCAACTTGACAATGATGGTGCCAACTTGGGCCAGTGAAGCAACGTCCTCCACAACTAGACTGAAGAACAAAAGGACAGCAACTTGTCTGTTCCCCTTCCCCCAATTCCCCAATTAAAAAAAAAAATCTTAAAAAAAAAAGAAAAAGGAGGATTTTTTAAAAATCTGCTATGGTAGGGTAAGTGTAAGGCTTCTTTTTTTTTTTCTTTTTTTCTTTTTTTCCATTTTAACTGTTTGTCTCATCTCTGAAGTGGGAACACAGAGACGACATCAAGCTTAATTGACATAATCAGTTTGATAGAGCTAAACACCATCACTATAAATTGGATGTCTTAATGAATCCAAGTTTTCTGAGAAATATGTAGCTGAGCTGGACTTGTTTATTACTTTGGTTTTGCACATCCCATCCCCCCCATGATATTACATTTACTTAATAAAGAAAAAAAATATCATGTTTCCACAGCAGCAATAGATGATATATTTGTCAAGGGAAGCAGCTGTGTTTTGTGCTCCTCCCCTGTTGTGCCATGAATATCGTACTAAAACATGCTGGCACCCTTGAATAAATTAAAATTAAAACTGTATTAAGTTGTTGGAGAGAAAACAACACGGTTAATAGTAACACTACATTGGCAGTCAAAGACTAATCCTGGTTCTGTTTCTAATTTACTGTGTGACCCTGGGCAGGTCATTTCAATTTTCAGAGACTTATCTGACTCACCTATTATGTGATGACATAATATAAATTTTACATTTTATATTCCAAATGTAAAACACTAAAATTTGTGTGTATGGTGGTATCCTATAAGTATACTGGCATTAGAGGACCAAGATCAAATTACTTAGCAAGATGTTCTATAAGTTACTATATGTAAAGGTCATGTGATTTAACCACAAATCTGGAAAGGCTTTTCTATGGTTCTGGCCAATATTCTTTTAATTAAGTAACCTAAAATAGTCTATTAAGTTTGCACATTTGCTCCTATATCTAGATTACTCTAACAAAAATTGTAGTTAGTATATTAAATATCATTTTTTTCCAAATATTCAAAGCATGTCTGTTTTTGTTCACTTTGTGTCTGGGTTATGTGTGTTACTAATATAAAGTCACAGAAGTACATATACTCAGACACTTAACAAAATCAGACCAGGTCTAAAAGAAGTCAATAATATAGTAACAAACATTCAATAAAGAGTTCGGCAAATATAACCCATGATATTAACATCTAGGGGTATCTAACAAAATATGAAATACTCTGTGTGTCTGGTCTGCTAGCCACATTTTCAGTTTGAGATAAGCCACAGTCAAAACATAACCAGACATGTGAGGGGTGAGGCCTAAAAGGGGATCAAGCAGGAAATAGATATCTAAGGACATATTCAGAATATGTAAGAAACTAATATTCATCCCAGGCATCTTCCCTAAATAATTCTTAGAGCTCTTCAATTTTCTCTTTATCTGAAGGGTCTAAATTACTTTAGGGAATCCCAGGTGTCTTTTTGTTTAGGGCACCCATGAGGCCCTCAGGTATAAGATATGTCTTCAGGCTACTTACTGATGCTCATTCCTACAGAGATTCAATTTGCAATAGTAAGAAGGACTTGTTAATCTTGTGGACAGGAAACTTTTTTTACATGTTGCTTTTTATTTAATAACCAATTGGAAAGGGTGAACTAATCTGAAAAACACACACACATGTGATATACATCAATAATTTCAACAATTTCCATCACACTATGTTTACAAGCCAAAAACGTCTCTAAGTTATGACAGCTTCACAAATTTTGTTATTTACTAGCTGCTAAGATCCAGAAATAGTAAAATTTCTATCCTTTGTTCCCAAAATAACTGAAAAACAGTTCTTATCCCAGCAGTGGAGATAAAGTTGGATGGTTTCAAGGAGTAAAGTGTCACTAACTTATACACAATAAATTACTTACAGTATCAGTTCAGCTCAATAGGTACTTGTAATCCAGTGTGAAGCATACTAGGACTTTTGGTTAAATTCCAAGCACAGAGGCAATTCATGAAGTACACCGGAGGTAAATGCTTAAGGACTTCAAGTAATTGAAATGCCTAGAGTCCAGTCAGTGGCAAGGAAGAAAGCTAACATCTAAACTATCCTGTCTTCATAAGGCCACAGAGATTATTAAACTGATTGCTGCCCAGCCTCACAAACTCCCTGGCACACGCTACTATTAAATAAAAATTTTTAAATGAATGAATCCGTCAATAGAAACATCAGATGGTCTGAGTTTCAACAAATATATAACTTCTCTAGCATCTTCTACCTGCACACTGATCTCAAGATCAAGAAGTCAGGTCACCATAACCGCCCTTTATTTAGCTGAGAAACTGACCTGGTTTAAAGGCCTTTTAGATCTGGTCTCTGTTTCTCTCTCCAGATCCACAGTTCCACAAAACATGTGCTTCAACCAACTTCATTTCTTTCAGGCCCTCAAATTCACTATGCTGTCTTACCTATGAACAATTTACTGCTCTCCCTGTCTGGAATGTTCCATGCCTTTCCCACTTAGGTCTCAGTCTAGATTTCATTTCCTTTGGTCTAATGCCTTTCCTTCAGGTATTACCCCTTCCTCTCATTCCCACCTACCCAAGACTGCTAGGTGTTGTCCTGCACATACCTTATATTGTTTTTTTATACTTGGTTGTTTTATTGTTTCCTACACTAAACTGGGCACATTAGGAGGGCAGCGATTGTGTTTGTCTTGCTCAACTATTGTATCCCTTCTGCCTAGAACCATGCTGGGCACATAGCTAGAGCTCAGTAAACCTTTGTTGAATAAATGAATGATGATGAGTGAATAAATGACAGGATAATGTTAGCCTTTTATGAGAATGAAATGGTCTTTACCTCTCACTCAGTATTACAAATTCTAAAATAAGTCATAGTTGCAAAGCATGACAAGGAAACTAGCAGTTATTCTAGTTCCTATAATACAATTTATTTTTTTTCCCTGCAACTTCACAGATTACCAAGCAGAATGTCTAAACAACATTCAAAATCACTTTCCATAAATTACAGTTCCTCTCCCTGAGACATCAGTTTATTTTAAACATTTCCTTGAACACAAAGATAACTAAGCAACTTTAAAAGAAAATAGAATTTCATGCCAACTAGGAAATAGATCTTTATGTCCAAAATTTTCCCCCTCCTTTGGTTATAGAAACCCCTTATGTACCATGATAGCCTGCCTGGGAGACTTTCCAATAATATGTTAAATCAATGTATTGAACACTGGCTTTTGGTTTTAATTTTCTCTAATTCCACAGATTCACATTAGGTAAGATATCTGAAAGCAGCTCCATTTAATAGCATGGTTTTAAGGATATAGTTTTAAACTGTAAGTGTTTTGGGGTGACTAATCAGAATTGTGATAAAAAAAAGCTGCCCCTCTTGCAAAAGGTCACCTCAAAAGGGTGGTGAAAATTAAAACCTCAGGGATTTCATTAGGAGACCCAAGGTTTATTTCAGTAGCACGACATTATCATCAGCTAATCAGCTGCTTCCCCAAGTCCCCTCCCTAGACACTGGGTATCCGTTTTTTTTCAAACTGAAGAACTCTGACTTTTTAGGGAAATTGGATATTTTTGCGAAACAATTTTCACAGCTCAATTAGTAACTATTTTCCCCCCACTTTTGCATGTGTGTGGTTGGAGCTGTGAGGGGCTGCAATCTGAAGTAACCTTGAATTACCCTTAATTCTGTACAACCTACCCCCACTGGCAACTGTAGTGGAACAAACTGAATATGGAAGAGGCTGCAAGGCCCCTGGCAGGGAGGCCCTCCCGGAGGGCAGGGGAGACCAATGCATTCACCCTGATCTGCTACCCACCCCAATGTCTCTCCACTCAAGGTTCTTTTCCCATTCCAAGTAGTCTAAGTTTTCCTTAGAAGTTCCTCGGTGTAATCCACTCTGCTTGGTTTCTCTGCCTCCCTCCCCCCAATCATCTGGACCCAATTTACAAACCCCAAACTGCCCAAGAATTTATGCAGGGCCTTTTCTGGGAGCGTCTGGAAGGGAAGTGTAAACCAGACAAGACAGAGGCCAGGAGCAGAAGATCTGCTTTAATCCAGAGGTTGGTCACAACTACCAAGGGGAATGTTAGTCAGCGACAAGGCCATAGTGGCAAAGAGAAAGCCCTGGGAGGGAGCGGGGTGGCTGGCAGGGAGCGAAAGAAGGGCGCAGAGATGGGCAGGGAAGCTGCGAGGTGAGGGCTTCACCCAGCCTCTCCCGGTGGCTCTGCACCCACGGGGCGCCCAACCTCTACCATTCAGCGGACAGATGCTCCGGGTCAGGATCTGCTGGGTCCCCGGCCTCACTTTCCAGCCGATTCCCTTCAGAGGGGCTTTTATCACTTTTATCTGAAAAGTGATGGGAAACCTGCCTGGGAAGCCGGTGCGACCCGCCTGAGCCTCTTTGAGGAAGGCGGCCGGCAGAGCCTGACCTCTCTTGGACCTGGGTCTCACTGGGCCCCACTGGGCCCCCCCCCGCACCTCGCCGCACGCACAGGGTTGCGGAGGTTCCTCCTCCCTGATTCATCTGAGTACCCGCACCTGAAGAGGTGTATCCTCCGTCAGTCGGGAAGCCCAGCTCCCGAGGGCTTCCAGGGGTCGAAGGAGAGAGCACGCGAGCCCAAGATAAGCCCGGCTGCACGCGGCTGGGAAGCACATGTTCATACAAACACTGCCACAAGGCGGTCTTTCTCCACACCCCGCCTCCGCCTGCCCTCAGTTGCCACCGTCAGTTCCGCCCCCTGCCCGCATCCCACCTACTCTTCCGAGGGCTAGCCTGGAGGCAGAGAGCCACCACAGCCGCTCTGGTCTCTTTCGCCCCCGGGGCCAGCAGCAAACTTGCATAACCCACTGACCTCTTCCAGAGGGGCCAGGGCAGCCAGCCAAGGCCGTGCACCCCTCCCCCATCCACGCTCTTTTCCCAGTGAGGGTGTGGGAGCAGGTTAAAGCGCCCCAAAAGAAGGTGGGGTGCCAGTCAGAGCCCCCGACACCACTCGGAAAACGCAGCCCCGACCTCCGGGTCCAGCCTCTTCCCCAGTGACAAGCCCGTGATCAGGGCGCAGCCGTGGCCCCAGATGGGCAGCACCTTTATTGGCCTCCTAAGGGCAGGAGGCAATTGCCTCTGAATCCTCCTGTGGGTCTGGCAGCTCCCTGATGCCCGAATTTCTGCGGGGACCCTGTTTCCCTATTCGGCAACCCTGCTCCACGCCTGTGCCGGGCAGTCCGGGCTGCGCGCACAGAACCCAGGGACCTCTAGCTCCCCAGCAATCTCCAGGCAGGACGCCCAGCGGAGCACCGCTGGGAAGCGGGACCTTAGCCAGGGCCCCGAGGGAGGAGAAGGGAAGGAGGGCGCAAGGGCTGCGGGAGCTGGAGCCCAGGAGGGCATCGGAGCCCAGCTCCGGAGCCGCGGGCGCCGCTGCCGCCGGCGTCGGGACTCGAGCCAGCGAGCTTTCCTTCCGGAGCCGCAAGATCTCTTGAACGTAAACTGTCTGAGAGAGCCGCTGGCAGAAGGCTTCCTTTCAAACACGGTCTTTTACAAATTGAGGAGACAAGAGGAGGAACGCCACGGCTGCTCGCGGCTCCCAACTTCAAAAAGTGCCAAGGAGCGGGAGCACAGCTCTCCAACCCACTCGGCGGATTCAGGGGGTGGGGAGAAGGGTTGGTCTAACCCCTGCCCCGGCGGGTGGGCTACTTACGTTTCTGCCGTGTGGGAGACCTTTCCACGCCTTGTCCTGTGGGCTCCTAAATGCATTTGTATGCATTTGTCCGTGCAGCGAAGCGCTAACGGAAAACAGAAGCCAACTCCGAGCTGCTAGGGGTGCAGGTACTGTCCATGAAAAAGGAAAACAAAATCACATGAAAATGATGCTCCAAAACCACCACCACAACAACAAAAGGAAGGAGGAGATGGGGAGGGAGAGAAATAGCACCCGAAGGATAGACAGCTAGGCTTCTTAGCTCCCTAGCTAGGAAACGGACGAGCCCGGGGGGAGCGCTCCCCTGGGAGGGAGGGCGGGCGAGGAGGGAGACCTCACTGGCCGGCGGCGGGGCGCTGGCAGCAGTGGGAGCTCCGCTGCGAGTGCAGCCCTCGAGTTCACTTGCGGTTCAAAGGCGACTCTGTGACTCCAGTGGAGTCCTCTGCTTTGGGCCTGGGAGGAGAAAGGGGTGGG